AAAGGTTGATACGGCGCTGTGTGTTACGGTCGGGCAGTTGCTGTTGACGGCGAGTGGCAGCGACAGCTCACTCAGCTGAACGGACAGCAGCTAAGCTGACTTCACGCTGTGCTCAAGGACCGAAGCCTGGTTCATGGACCCGAACGGGGCTTGCGGCAGCAGGTCGCGCAGGCGCAGCGGCGCTTGACACGGCCTGACCGAATGTCATGACCTCGGCACCGTCTGGAGCAGCAGCGCGTCCACCGACCTGACCTGACTGCATCAGCCAGCCTCGCGTCGCCGCGGCCGCCTCGGCTACTGCGCCGGCTCTGTCCTGACCTCACCTGACCTGAGTCACCCGACCCCGCCTTACCACCTGACCGCGCCGGGCGGCCGGGGGCCTCACCGCTCGACCCGTGACGGCCCGTCCCGGACCTGACGGTTGCAATCTTCAGGCAGCTCAGCGCTGACGTGGCGGTTACCAGCCGGGCTGGTCGATCGCCGGCTGCCCGCCTGCCTGGCGCCGGTAGCCGTCTTCCGGCCACTCCAGGGGCGCAGGCACGCGGGCACAGGGGCATGCGCCTCCTGTGGTCCTCAGAGGACCTTCGTGTCCCTCGGGACCGAAAACTAAAGAGGCCGAAGGGCTGGCTAGGGGCCGTATTGAGGGAAGCCCGGCGCGTAAGGCCGGGGCTCTGGAATGTCAACCAGGACGGTGCCTTGTGACGACATTGGTAAGATTCTGGTTACCCTCATTGTCCCGGAGGATCCCTACTGCCGATCAAATACCACCAATATCAAGCATTTAGCCCCGTGTCAGCCTGGCACCCATTTCCCAAGAATGGACAGAGCCGGGGCCCGCGAACGTCAGTCCTCTAGCACTGGTCCGCGCCCTGTGTCGGTCAGGGACACCCTCTGCCGACAAGGGGCCATGGAGGTCAGACAGTGGCCCGATAAGCCGAACTGGCGTCCATGAGCCAATCGTTGTACCCTCAGTGCAGGTCAGGGATCCTTTTCTTGGGAGCTAGGCTTCTTCCATCGGCGAGGATCCCTGTTGTCGACCCGGGGCCAACTGCTCCTGTCAGGAAGGCCTCCTGCGTCAGAGAGGTGACCTATGCATTGATGTACCCCCTCTGCGACATCCATGTCGACCAGAGACCCCGGCCCCCTGGTCGGCAGAACTTGCAGCCGGTAAAAATCCGGGCTGGGACGGTATGGGCCTCCAGCCCCTGACTGGGAGAGGTATGGGTGTAATCCTAACCACACCGGAGTCTCCAGTATTGCTTTTCCACGTCAAGCCTCGGTGGTATTCTTTTGACGTTTCCGTGGTGAGCTCATTGTACCGTGACATAAAGCAAACGACCCGCATTATACCACGATAAACCGGCTGGCGTCGACGAGCGCGCTGCACCTTCGCACCGAAAGGAAGGCTGTGTCTGAGTGCGGCACCTCTCACGACGTATACCCATTTTGGACCGCTTGCATGGGGTAGTGCAGCGCTGCAAAACATGCAAATGCATTGCGCCATGCACATCCGGATCCATCAAACCGCATTTATCAAAGGAGGGCAATTGGTCTCCTGGCGACCGCGGTTCGATTGATGAGCCTGCTCAACAACGCTGCTTTTATGGGGTACCGTCATTTGCGCTTTGAAACCGGTACAGCGACACGAGAAGTTGACGGCTGGATTAGTGAACACAACAACGTTCCCTTGACAACTTTGCCAGCCATCCCTGCAGCTGACAAGTCTTAAAAGCCATCGGAGACGAGTGGAATTCCCATCAGCAACTCACAATTGGAGCGGGCATTGCATCCCGGTGGCAAGAATTGCACGACGAACTTGAGTCACTGGGACACTGACCGTTCTCGGATCAGAGTCAGGACACTGACCGTTCCCGGATCAGTCAGGACGCTGACCATTCCCGGATCACAGCCAGGACACTGACAGTTCCCGGATCAGAGTCAGGACACTGACATTCCCGGATCACAACCAGGACACTGACCGTTCCCGGATCAGTCAGGACACTGACCATTTCCGGATCACAGCCAGAACGCTGACCGTTCCCGGATCGGAGTCAGGACACTGACCATTCCCGGATCACAGCCCAGAACACTGACCGTTCCCAGATCACAATCAAGACACTGACCGCTGACGGATTGCAGCCAGGACACTGACCGCTGCCGGATCACAGCTGGGACACTGACCGTTGCCGGATCACAGCCAGGACGCTGACGCTGCCGGATCACAGCTAGGACACTGAACGTTCCAGAATCACAGCTAGGACACTGACCGCTCCCGGACCGCAGTCAGGAGAACTCAGGCAACTTCCAGTAAATGAGTAGGCGAGAGAGGAGTGGTCTGGAATGACGTTTCCTTGAAATTGTGGATGCAATGCCGGGGAGGAAGGGGGGTGAGAGGAAAGCGCGAGGGGTTTAAAAACTCTTAGTCTGGACAATTTTTCTTTTTTCATTTTTTCTCGAAAACATGCATTTTTTATGGTCTACAGTGGTAACCTTAGAGCACATCAATGCCAGCCTTAGCCTTCAAATATAGTAATGTCATGAATAATAGCACCATCGCTCGTTGATAGCCTTTACAACGGAGAGACCGAGACAAGCTAACCATCCTATCCATCCTTAACAGCTGCATCACACTGAAGTCATCTTGAATAGAATAATCTGACTGAGAATACTGTGCTCTTAACATGGACTAAATGCTCATGGATGCGCGCAGAGGAGTGGGGTCTATTCACACCCCTAGTTACTTACTTGACGTGAAATTCAAAGCTCCACACATTACTATACCAACAATTTGCGCCGCAAATGTCGTGAAAATCCCGACAGACTGGTAGACCTGCAACCGTGATTTGTGCTCATTATCTTCTAATACCTGGTTGCAACAGACGAGCGTTTCTGCTTCCACTACAGCGAAAGGCAGCACCGCGTGTTGGTTGCACAGCGACCGGTGATACCTCGCATGTTGGCCGGGCTTAACAGATCCGCTCGATCCGTTAAGAATTCGGATTCATTAAGGATGTGAATCCATTAAGGTACGGACCCCACACCGGGATCCACAAGTGTATCCTCCCAGAATGTAGATCCATTTAAGTCTGGACTCCCCCATCGAGGATTGATTGGTGGTTGGACCACTCATTAGCCTGGAAGAGTACAAGACGCCAAATCCCTATGTGCCTATGCTCGAGCTTAGTATACAAACCATACCTACGACAAATCTACACTGCTGGAACCGGTAAGTTCCGCACGACTGGCCACCTAATCCGTAGACTGATGTAATCGGCGTGTAGTCACATCTCCCTACAGAAAAAACACGCAAAGCAGCGAAGGCATACGGCGTGCCTTGCAGCCTCCCCAGAATTACCGGTGAGTATCTAAAAGGCGGTGTTCACGCTCGGCGCATGGGTTTTCGACTTCAATACCTCATCGAAGTTTACGCTGCCTTCGGGCTTGCGAGTTTGCCCGACCGGTCAGCCCTCAGGCGCCGCCCCTCGGGTGACAGATCTCCAGAAGCGCTCTAGGCAGCGTGAACACGTGTCAGCTACTCCGGGGCGCGCGTAGCAGCCCGGACAAAACAGGGTACTCGGCTCTGTCAACGGCAAACACCGATAGGCAATGACGCATCCCAGGTCCCTAGAACCGTTCAGTGAACGGCTGCCGTGAACACGAGCGCTCTCCCCTCCCACACCCGGCACACGCGGGGAAATTTCAAAATGACGGAACGCGCGGAACACAAGTCGATGATCTGAAAGGAGGTCGATTTGGGGCCTAAACGCTTTCGAGAACTGACTCGGCAGCCTGACCAAATCGGCCGTTTCCGGCGCCCGCGGACGCTAGAGCGCGCGGTCAGCACAGTGCTTCGGACGAGCCACAACGTCGCGCGAGCGTTTTGCCTCGCGTCTCCAAATCCCCCTCCAGCTCATCGACTCCCGTTTGGAGTCGCATCTGGAGCAGCGGGGTGAAGCCGGGAGGAGCAGACAGGCCAAGCGAAAAGGATCTATTCAACCTGAAAGTGATCATACAGGCAGAACGACACACACACACACACCAATGTATTCTCACCGAAGCGAGCCGGTGCGAACGGTTCCGGTGCGACGAATACAGCGACGCGGTGACACAACGCTTGATAAACGAGAGACTAGACTTGCGTGGGGCGCCGACCGCATCACGCCTGACCAATCCCGTTCACAGCGTCAGAGATCAGACGGGGTCCGCGTCGCGAGAGACGACGCGCCGGCACGCCCGCGGGCCGCCGTGGACAGACTGAGCCGGCCACACAGCCCGCAGCATTCAGCCTCGCGCCTGGCTTCATTAGCGCTCGCATTGAGACGAAGCGCGGTCGGCATTCAGCAACACACCGCGGACCACGCTTCAGTAGTCAGACCAGCCGCCTGTGTTCTTCGGCCGCCCGCGAGTGAACGCGATTCACATTCATCGGGAACCGCACGGCGCCGTTCCGCGGGGACACGCAACGTCCTCGCCAGACGACGCTCATGACTGTATGGCCAGGAGAGCCGACATTCAACAGGCCACGGAACACCGACAAGCAGGGACGTAGCGGATGAGGGGAGGGAGGCGCAGCTCACGGCCTACCCCGCCTTCACACCAGAGCCGATCCTACTGTTTCATCAGGTGGAAATTACCATGCCAACGGTCCGAACCTCCAAATCCAGTTTGAACTCCACGACAGCAGTTCACCCCTCTCCCTTAGATCATCGACATACGGGCATGAAAGCCCACTGTCGCGTCTGTCGTCAGGGACCCGCTGCCCACTGTCGCGTCTGTCGTCAGGGGCCCGCTGCCCACTGTCGCGTCCGTCGTCAGGGATCCGCTGCCCACCGACAGAGATCATGTGGCGTAGACCTCGCCACGCTATGTCCGGGCGGCAGACATCCGCCGAAGCGGCGACAGTCAACAGCGGTCCGGCCGGCCGCGCAACACCGCCGGGTAGCGCCGCCGACCGCGGCGGGGGACGGCAGACCGCCACGGCCGCCCGCCGACGCCACGACTCACAGGTCAGGGAGCGGGGGAGGGCGCCACCGCCACCGACGGCGCGCCGCGAACTTCGGGCGCCGCCGGCCCTACATGGCGTAGCAGAAGAGCTGCTTCTGGTCGTAGGCGGCCAGGCCGAAGGTGGCGCCGTCGGAGCGCAGGAATCCGGCTCCCACCAGGCGAGCGTTCGCCTCGCGCTCCGTGAACTTGTGCGTCAGCTGCCGGCAAGGACGTTCGGTTAGCAACCGCGCTCCGGCCGTGCGCCGCGGGCGCAACGGCGTCCCGTCACGAGCTGGTGACGTCATCACGAGAGGAGGCCGCACGCTTTCGGACGGGAGTGCCGCCGCGATCCGCCCTCCGCCCGTGTTTCATAACAGTGGTCTGAAATTGAACCTAGCGGCCTAGTGCAGGCGGAGGGCATTACCCGGTCAGAGAGCGGTGGAACGGAGCCCCAGCTGCCAGCGATGACTGCATCAGCGCCGGACGGCGGCTCTATCGACCGTCCGCCGCCCACAGAGCAGCCACTGCCGGCTGCCGCCGCGTACCGCAGGCCGCTGACCACGGCACCGTCTGTCTCATCACGGACCGGACCGGGAAAGGGGGGGGGGGGGAGGACCGGCCGCCCGCACCAGATACGACCGATACCAGCCCGCTGCGTCCGGTCCCCGGCAGCCGGCAGATGTTGCGGGGACGCCCGCCGTGCCGCAGTCTTCTGTTTCCGGAGAGGAGGCGGCTGCCGACCGGCCGCCGCAGAACACAAGGCAGCGACGGCGGCCAGCGCACGGCCAGGATGGGCGGAGGGGGGGGGGGGGGGAGGGGGAGAAGGCGCGCACACCAAACCACATCGACAGCTTGATCCCGGAACCGACAGCAACCGAGCTGAGCCAGCACGGTGCCCTCTGACAGCCCGGCTGCTGGACGCTCCAGCCCGAACCCGCGCCGGCCGCCTCACTCACCGGCGTGGCAGAGTCGGCCACCTTCCAGACCTTGACGAGCGCGTCTTCGGCGACGGTCAGCAGCAGTCCGCTCTCGGGCGCCAGGTCGAGCCCGGTGATCCAGCGCGCGTGCGCCGTGGCCTCGGCGCGGATCTGGCCCGACTCGCGGTTGAAAAGGCGCAGGTGGCCCGAGCCGTACGCGGCCACCACGTACAGCTCGGTCAGCGTCAGCGCGGTGCACGGCGCCCTGGCGGCGGCGGAGGCGGCGGCGGTGAGGCTCACGGCGGCGACAGGATGGCCGGTCGGCCCGGCGCGCGCCCGCCGACGTGTCCTGCGTCGAAGCGGGCGGCGGGACGCGCGTGGCCGGCCGGCCCAGTCAGCGGGGACCGGGCACACGGAGACGGGAGGGGGGGGGGGGGGGGGGGCAGACACGACGCAGTGCGCCCACGCCCAGTGTCCCTCGCGCACCGCGAGGGACAAACGGGACATGGTTTCATGTATAGATCTGCGCGCCCAGACCCCGTTCTGCATACACAATGGTATCTAAATGACGCAGATGGCTGAAAACGAGATGGTAAAGCAGACAGATAATCTGGGAGCGTTCAATCCCCTCATAAAACATATCTACTGATACGAACACATGCTGCAGACGAGCCTGACGACAAACCGCAATCACGAAGTAAGACCACACCACAGCCATGACACGGCACACATGCACACAAGGTCTACATCTCCCAAAACTAGGAGCTTCACAAAGGTACCTGCGAGCATCCCACATTTGCTTTGACAGCATCCTTCACCAGACGACTCCCTGGCCCGACAACCACTCGCACCACACGCTGCTGGTGAAGCCAACAGGACACCGTCAGCGCTGTCACAATCTCAGCGGCTCGGTGCTCCCGGTACTGGCCGAGCTCCCGGCACTGGCCGTGCTCCCGGTACTGACCGAGCTCCAGGCACTGGCCGTGCTCCTGGCACCACGGTGTGCTCTCGGCACTGGCCGTGCTCCCGGCACTGGCCGTGCTCCCGGCACCGCGGCGTGCTCCGTACCCGTAGTGGTCGATCTGCCGGAGCCGCGCCACCTCGCTGCCCTTGCCGGCCCACTGCACGATGTTGCCCGTCTCGTCGGCCGACACCAGGTGTCGCTCGTCGGCGGCCAGCGCGCAGATGGCGCTGGCGTGCATGCGGACCCGCTGGCCCAGGTGCAGCTCGCCCTCGGCGCCAGAGTCCGACTGGAACACCAGCAGCGAGCCGTCCGACGTCCCTGCCAGGCGGGGGTCACAGCGGCTGTCACCAGCGGTCAGACAGGGTCACACCAGCGGCGAGCCGTCCGACGTCCCTACCGAGTAGGGTCACAAGCGGCTGTCACCAGCGGTCAGACAGGGTCACACCCGGATGTCACCGGCGGTCAGACAGGGTCAGAACAGCAGCGAGCCGTCCGACGTCGCTGCCAGGCGGGGTCACATGCGGCTGTCACCGGCGGTCAGACAAGATCACAGCAATGCCACCGGGGTCAGACAGGGTCATATGGCGTCACCGGGGGGGGGGGGGGGAGGGGAACATATTCACAGAGGCGCCATCATGGATCAAATCGGGTCATGTGAGGTCACCATAGGTTAGATTAGGTATCGGGGAACTATCATTGATTAGGTAGGGTCGCAGGGGCACCATCACCATCATCATCATAAAATTGGGTCACGGGTGTCATCAAGGGTAGATTGGGTCATGGACCATTCTCATGGGTCAGACAGGGTCACAGACACATTACGGGTCAGATCGGGTTACGAGGCGCCACTACCGGTCAGTTTGGGCCACAGGGCGTTGTCATGGGTTAGACAGGGTCACAGGTACGTCATGAGTCAGATCGGGTGACGGGGCGTCATTATCGGTCAGATTGGGTCACAGTGTATCACTTTCGGTCAGATTGGGTCACGGGGCGTAATCATTAATCAGATAAGGTCACAGGGTCGTCAAGGGTCAGATATGATCACAGAGTCGTTACCATACGTCGGATTGGCAGGGGACTGCCGCCCACTGCCGTTAAACCTAGATGCCGAAAATTACAGATTGGAGCGCGAGGCGCCACAGCGAGTAGCGGGAAGGGGGTCGTGAGACATGGTCACCAGGGGTCCGACATTCTCACGTGCAAAGTGGAGACTGATAAGCGTCAAGCTGAAGAACTAGCAGCCAACACCTCGGGGCACAGGCTGGGCAGGTACTATCACAGTGTCATGAGGGCTACGACAACACAACGATGTCCTACGAGAGCATCCTCTCATCTCGAGGCGTCAGAGAATAGTGAACAAAACACCGTCCGAAAGAACAAATGAGCGCGGATCATCCGATACCACCTAAAGACGCATATCCCTCATTTCTTCCGGGGAAAAAAGGAAGCACACCGACCATCAGTGGCCTGCCTCCAGTGCGAGCAAACACCGAGCCATAGACGGGTGCACGTGCAGTGTGCACCAGTGAAGCCTTGCGCCCGGTCGTCGCGCGCCGCTCACAGCAGCGCGGTGCGGTGCATCAAACGCCCGGCGACGCTTTCAACACGACGGTGGCAACAGATGGCCAGGTGACGCCGAGTGTGTGCCTGAGGCGAAATCGGAGCGTGCCTACAGTGCTTTGTCATTCACGAAAACATTCCGTGACAAACCATCAGGATGCTTAGTGACTACCTTGCAAGAACTTCGAAATGAAAAGGTGGCGCCAGATACTGTTTGCCACCTTCCCAACGCTTAAATGACGTACGTGCGGCCGGCGTGCGTCCGGTGTGGCTTTGACCAAGCCAAGACACCGTGCACAGCTGGGGTGCACTGGCACTGCACGCGCGGCCGTGGCACGGCCCGGGTGCAGCCGTCCCGCTCGTGTGGTGCGTCCTGCCTGGCTCCGGTCGCGCGGCGACATCACCCAACGCCCCAGTGCCTGTGCGGTGCGCAGGCGTGCCCACAGCGAGGTGCGCGCCCGCTACGGCGGTGCATCACAGCGACACCGAGCACCCACCGACGCAGGCCTTGCCCAGAAACGCGGCCAGGCCCCTGGTGAAGCAGCGCGCGCCCTCCTGCGTGTAGGGGAACGAGAACAGCAGCATGGAGGCGTGCTGGTTGTAGAAGTCGACGCTGTTGGAGCAGGCCGCCACCAGGTAGGTCCAGTTCTTCAGCTCACACCAGCGGACCTGCGGGCAGCCGGCGGCCGCCGGCGGCGGACCAGGTGGGGTGGCGCGGGACAGGCGCGCACCACGCGGGGGACGGAGCGGCGCCGGCCACAAAGGCGGGACGGGCGCCTGATGCCAGTCGGGGCAGGGACATGCAGCCAGACAAAGGACGTGAGCCGCGGACGTGGACTCAAACAGGTGAGAACAGGACGGCGGTGAGGCTGACCTCAGCGTGTCAGAGCCGGCTGCGAGCCAGGCGTCGGGACCGGCGCCTGCAGTGGTCAGAACACGGACAGACTGATGGGTAGACTACAGACCGCCTACCCGAACACGACGAGTAATGCAGGGAAAGTGACTGACAACTACCGCAAGAGCTAACAAAGCACCCGCTCGCCTCCCTCGCCAGTCCCTAACGCCAGCGCGCCCGACAGCCGCTGCGCGCCGGTCGCGCCACCCGAGCCCCACCTGCAGCACGGTCTGGCCGTCCTCCTCGGAGCGGCCGCTGACTGCGCGTGACTCGACCGTCTCGTCGGCCAGCTTGACCAGCGATATCTGGTTCTGGTGAGGCCAGGCCAGCCAGGTGGCGTCGGCGGTGCGGCGCACGGCCAGACTGTTGGCGCCGGCCGCGCACGAGTGCGTCAGCAGCAGCGTCTTCTCACGCTCGTACATGGCGGCCGGGGCTGACGAGCGGCCGGGCGGAGCGCTGCAGGCCGCGAACACGGACGAAGTGAGGCTGGGCTGTTGGAGAGGCGCTGGCCCTCGCACAGAGGTAGAGCGCAAAGGCCGCTACGAACGGACGTAGGGCGTTGAGGTCTTGGGCCTCACGCGGTGGCACAGGGAGGAAGTCACCAGAACTGAAAGCAAGAAGACCGGAGGTCAGTTTGAGCGCCGCTGGAAGAATCGGTGTGAAACTGTCCAGCAACGTCGTCGCCAGCACGGTGGCGGAAGCGTGAGAGGGGCGGGGAGGGGGAGGGAGCAATATCCCACAACCCAAACACTAGTGGGGCAACACATGCTTTTGTCCTCAAAATGAACGCATGCCAAACATCAGGCTCCAACTTCATCAGTTGTGTCCAGACGACGTTCTTCGCTTTATCAGACACCCAGCACAATTAACTTCTGTTGAACCTGCTGTGGGGTCGCTTGTGAAACCGCGCACTGGTCATAAGGCACAAGGCTATGGACAAGCTGAAAGCCACCACAGCGTCGCCTGAAGAGCCGCCACGCAGGCCTGAGATCTCGCAGCACGCCATTCTTCACTGCACGACTGTCATCTCCGACATCCTGCACTGACTGCGAAGCCTGCCGAGAACGGCGACACATGCCGCCACGCGAGGACGTCTCCTCCATCACCCCTCACAGATCACAACTGGACATTCCGCCCCCAGAGCTGGCAACAACCAGGATTTTTCGGTGTGACGCGATCAAGGAGGTTCGACTTTGGAACGTAAGCCGGAGAACTCTCCGGCACACCTGCATGCTACCCATAAAACTACCGTCTCTGCACCGACTCAACAAATTTGGCCCCCAGACTTTTTGATTCTTCACATCCATGGTCAGACAGACTGATCCTATCAACGAAACTTTGTTCAAAGTATGTCCCTACAATGGCCTTTACACATCATCCAGCACTCAGCCATGATTGGACCTCTTGCACTGCCTGAGCTGTTCCTGGATGACCACATGACTGATGGTGCTCAATGACAATGACAACTGAGCTCCAGCCTAAGCTCAGGAGAGGCGATGCCTGTCCATCTCCTCAACCATGCAGTGAAGTTGCATGGTATGCATTTACAACATGTGCTCTTTCATACCATACACATTTGTTTTCTGTGGGTACAAAATGTAGTTGCATATGTGTGCTGCTGGGAAAAGTACACACATTTAGCACTGTTTCTGTGGAAGAATGATGTGTGTTGTGTACTGGTCCACCCTTGTATACACAGAATGTGCACTCAGTTAGTTGTAAGGTTTCCAGAATGTGTTGCCTGAGTGATGCTTTGATTATAATAAACAAACCCTGATTGGGACATCATATGGTGTGGAAAGAGCTGCAATACCCATACCCTTGCAATCTGCTAAAATCAAAGGCCCTGATACATGCACCAGACATAGCACAGACCATATGATGGCCTCTCTGTCACTGATGATGGCTTGGATTTGTCATGGGTCATAATCTGAGGAGCCTTCTAAGGTGGGCAGTCTGCACTGAAAATGTTAATTGGGCCCCAAGGTCTCAGATATGCCTTCCTTTCACTGATAATTAAATAATGAACTGAAAGTTCAGTGCAGTTTCACAGACAACTATGCACTCAGAACAATTAATGCAAATACTGGGACTCACAGCTGAGAATGAATCCAAGACCGGTTCAGATCATGAACTGATAAAAAACAATTGAATCCCAAATACTGAAATCCTAAGTAGACCACTATCCACCATAGAATAAGTCACCTCACATAATCATCTCATTCATACAATAGCCATGAAAGCAAATACTTTGCAGAGATGGACTTGGGAAGTCTGCTAAACAAAGCTAATTACAAAGAAGCCAATCTGAGGCCACCCTGTAACCCTGAGGCCCTGTCACCCTATAACCCTGTCATCCTGAGGTCACCCTGTTACCCTAAAGTCATTAGATAGCCTTGAGCCAAACCCACCCCTTGTATTGCAAAGCAATTTTAGTTCAATACTAATATAATAGCCAACAGTTGGCAAAAATTGTGAAGTGATATATTCTACTGTGACTTTTTTGGATGGTTGCCAAATAATCCAGAATAAATTAACATGCCAATTTCACTTATATTCCACACTTTGTTCATGAAAATGAATTGCATCTAAGAATGTTATGCATTGCAAATGAGGCTGCTTTAGAATACCTAGGCAGCCTGAGTAGCTACTTTGCACACCACACATGCTCAGACCCCCTAACAGTTTTTTCAAATAACATAACACCCTGAATTCACTTTGGATATCAACCATTCCAACTGAAATATTTCCCCATGCAATGTTTAGCTCATTGCCATTAGCTTATTCACACCGCAATGCAGATTGGTTCCAGTTACTTGTCTCACAACAAGCTTTAAAACAAGATTTAGAAAACAGATAACAGTAGAATTAGCCTTATTCCTAAAAAAACAGGATAATGGAGATATAGTTTGGCAGTTATTTCTGCAACGTGCGTTTCTCGAAACAATAGCTGAAGTGAATGGCATTGTTGGCGACTTGGTTTCGAGAAAGGCATGTTGCCGAAATATCAACCCACCTATATCTCCATTCTTCTAGTTTTTCCGAGGAATAGGCTAATACTACTGTCTTATCTGTGTGACTGATGTCCCTCGCCAATGCATTGAACAACTTACGAGATTTGGAACGCGCATTTGCAGATTAGGAACCCCCTGCCGCCCAACAAACGGCTAATTTTCAGCAGAATGGAGAAATTCACGCGACTTACCGCCCGCACGGCGTTCAGCAGCTCGCACGTATTACGTTTTCTGCTGCGGCATTTAACAAATGCGGCAAAAAAGCACGGCGGCAGAGATACCAAATCAAGGATGTGGTAGCAATCAATAAATTCCCAGTCTTGCTCATTTCAAGCTCATTAAAACATTTTGCTGGTATAGGCCGGTATTTATCGTTTTTCCAAATCGTTTTGACATGCCTGAACTAAAAAAGAATCGGGATTGCCAGCACTAACAAGAAGATCGGCACCGTTTCATAGGAAACCATTTTCCCATCTCCCATGCATTTTCACCGATTCGTTTGAGCACTGCTCGGTATATTGCTTACAGATGGCAGCCCTTGTTCCCACGCCCATATCTAGGCCCACATCCGGTCTCGGACCGACATCCACCCCTAGGCGGGACTCCATCCAGTCTGGGGATGGACCAGAATCCCCAACGGTCCAGTCCAGAATCCCCAAGGGGTATTTGTGCGCCTGGCATTGCATTCCGATAAGTTGGTACAAAGGGCACATGAATAACTGATAAATGACACCATGCTTCTCTGTGTTTTCACGTCCGTCCGTCCCAGGACCCAAGTGTCTGTGTCCAAGTGTCTGTCTGTGTTCTAGTGTCTGTAGTTCGTCCTCCGATGCATGTTCATCCATGAAACCTGTCCGGCTCTGGTCCCAGATCTAGCACTGCCCGTTTTAGTCCCAGTCCTCACTTAACCCCGGTCCCACGTCCACGACCGGGGCCACGTCCGCCCACAATCTCACGTCCGGTTAGATCCTAAAAAATACATACTGTCAAAATTCCGACAGCTTAAGAGTGACTTCGTTTACGCATTTGCCCGTTAAAAACGGTGACTTCTGTCATTCTTTGAGCTTGTGTGGCGTGCGGCACGCGAAGGACATTTTGGAAACGTCTGCGTGCTTATATCCGAGACAATCCCAGTTGGTCGTATGGCACTGCATTGCACCGGTTTCGTTTTGAGAGTCACAAAGCACATTAACATCGGAAACAGTGTATTTATCGAGTCAGCTTCCTAATGCCCAAGTTGATCATCCCACTTGTCCCCAGAGTAAGTACAGGCACTGGATACGTGCATTGCAGTCGTAACCGGCTTGCATCAACACGAGCTGGCCACAGTGCTGCTGCGACCTGCGTGGAGTCGCGAAGCTGGCCACGGTGCAGCTGTGACCTCCGTGGGCGCACGAAGCTATCAGCGCTGGAAACACGGCGGCGTTGAGAACATCGCAATAAACCTTGCCGGAGCTCCTGTTGTATAATACGCTTCGGTGTTCACAGCCTGTGGCTTCGATAGGACGGAGTTGCACAACGTGGCGTTTGTGTGCCTGGCATTACATTCCGACAGGGCGGTACAAAAGGCATATGGATAACTGATAAATGATGCCGTGCTTCTCTGTCTCTTCCTGATCATGTAGACATCGCGACACCACACTTATTTTGGAGCAGATCCAACCATAAAAATCAGACCTAGCGGCGTTTCGATCGCCGATTGTTCAACACACGCTATCCTGCCGCTCGCCAGGGAGCTGTCACGTTGCCCTGCTGACACTGTGAACCGGTGCGTTCCGGCACCTCACTCCAGTTGCTACCGGGGATCGAATGCGTCACAACTCGCACTCACACACACACACGCAACGCACACAACCGGCACACTCGTGTGCTGTCGGCGTCACCCGCGTGTCGCGGACAGGCGCCTCTCTCGCCGCCACCGCGCCGAGGTAGCGGGGCACCGCGGCAGGCTCAGCATAGCACCAGTCCGACCGTCGAGCTGGAGCCGCGGCCAGAAGCGACCGCGGCCGGCGCGGAGTCCTGCGGTGCGCGGGGAACACGACCGTGTCACCAGGCGGAGCTCGACCTCGCCGGAGGGCAGGGCGAGCCCCTCACCAGCCGTGTCCCTGTGGCGGAGTCCCAGCTGTGGAACGCCGTGCCGCACCACAGGTGTTCGTCCAGGCCCGGCCACCGGGCCCGGTCGCGGGGTGAGCTCCAGCCGGGAGGTCAACGCCCGCGGCTGTTGGTCCGGAGTTGCGCTGACGCTGTCCATCCGCTGGCCGCGATCAGAAGATGACCTCCAGCTCCTCGCCGTCCTCTTCGCACTCGCCCGGGTACAAATTCTGCGGGAACGGCGCGAACACGGGTTAGTTTTGTTCCCGTGGGATTCGCTGTAGGGCACAGTGATGCGAACGTGTGAACAGGACACACATAGCGAACAAGTGCAATAGGGTGTAGTGCGTGCCGGCTGAATATTGCGTCGCTGACATTGAGCTCAAATGAGTTGATTCTCAAGGCATTGTTTTGTACAATTGCGCACCTCTATGACATGATGCACATTACCATCATCAATGCACAGGCAAGCGCACGAACATGATTTTCGCAAAGGGATCACGCGCAGGAGCCCTCATGTGGTCTCTCCGGGGAGAAAACACGCTTTCCAGCACGGTTCCCATGCCTCGTCTTAGGAACTCGTAATAATACGTTTGGGGTTCTACAGTGAGTGACGTGAAATCAGGAACGTTTGTTTCATGCTTTCCAGGAGGCGGAGGCCCCAGCTTGCTACGAGAGGTCACGGGCCCGTGGGTCTCGCCTGTGTGTCCTTCAGTGGCCAACATGAATAACGTCTCGATGTCTCGTCAGCCGCGCCGCCCGGCTGCCAGTCAGATAAGGACCCCAGGCGGTCCACTGTGGCGGCGTCCGGCGACTCACGTCACAGTTGCCCCTGTCCTATCCCTTCAAGTGACTCACCTCACAGTTTCCCCTGTCCTGTCCCTTCAAGTGACTCACGTCACAGCTGCCCCTGTCCTGTCCCTTCAAGTGACTCACCTCACAGTTGCTCTCGTTTTGTCCCTCCAAGTGACTCACCGCACAGTTGCCCTCGTTCTGTCCCTCCAAGTGACTCACTGCACAGTTGCCCTCGTTCCTTCTCTTCAAGTGACTCACCTCACAATTGCCCTCGTTTTGTCCCTTCAAGTGACTCACCTCACAGTTGCACTCGTTTTGTCCTCCAAGTGACTCACCGCACAGTTGCCCTCGTCCTGTCCCTCCAAGTGACTCACCTCACAGTTGCCCTCGTTTTGTCCTTCCAAGTGACTCACCGCACAGTTGCCCTCGTTTTGTCCCTCCAAGTGACTCACCGCACAGTTGCCCTCGTTCTGTCCCTCCAAGTGACTCACCGCACAGTTGCCCTCGTTCTGTCCCTCCAAGTGACTCACCGCACAGTTGCCCTTGTTCTGTCCCTTCAAGTGACTCACCGCACAATTGCCCTCGTCCTCTCCTTTCAGGTAACTCACCTCACAGCGGTTGCCGCCCTATCCCTCCCAGTGACTCACCTCACAGCTGCCCTCGTCCTGTCCCCCTAAGCAACTCACCTCATAGGTGCCCTCGTCCTTTCCCCTCAGAGACTCATCCCACAGTTGCCCTCGTCCTGTCCTTCTCAGTGACTCACCTCACAGTTGCCCTCGTCCTGTCCCTCGGCGACGGCCTCGGCCACCTGCTCGTGCACCACCGAGTCGACGTCGTGTTCGGCCGAGGCCAGCAACAGACCGAACAGCCGGCTGTCGAGGGCGAGGCGCGTTAGACGCTGACGTCACACACTGACGCCGGGTCGGTCAACAGGCTCACTTACACTGAGCCCTCACATGGAGGAATAAATCAACAGGAGATAGGACGATGGTAGCGGGAATTACGTGTGAGATCACATAAACGGTAGCAGTGGTAGTGGCTTGTGAAGGCAGAGCAAACATGTACAAATTTTTGACTTATAATAATCGCATGTGATGATCGATGCTATTTTCATTGAGCGCATTCACGTGCTCGGGGCTCCATATTTCTGAACAAATGCTTGACTCCCAGCATTCTATCTCTACGACCTTTACGACGGACGCTGGCGCTGCTCACCCGCGAACAACCAGTAAAGGCTTGCGGCAGACAAGATAAATCACTGCATATACCAACCTGCCATCGGCTTATAACACCCTGATCGCTCATGCTTCCTACAACGTTCAACATAATGCTCAAAAATGGCGACTGTTGAACTGGCAGCACGATGCACGTATGAGAAAAAGGAAGACAAGTGTGCAACAGCCGCTCATTGCCATACGTCAGCTTGTCATATGGAGGTACACATGGCTCTTCGACCCCGTACATCTGGCCTCAACCCTGGAGCTAGAATGCTGTGCACCAGTCTCGCGTCACGCGCAGCAGCGGATCTGACACCGCTCCGGAGAGCGATCGCAAGACGTACCTGGTGCCCTTCATGACGGTGGAGCGCACGCCGTACTCTCCCGCGTCCGTCTCCTTCGCCTCGCGGTTGGCGCGACACAACGCCTGCAGCAGACACTCGGGCTTCCTGCGAATCTGCCGGTAGGCGCTGTAGGCCAGCACGACCGGCTCGCCCAGCGAGTGGTCCAACGTGTCCATGATGTAGTTGTCCTCCTTCTTCCCGGAGAGTTTCCGGAACACGCTCTTCGGCGACTGGTACACCTCGCTGTACGCCTTCAGCAGGAACTTGTACGTGTCATCACAGAACGCCTCAAAGTCTAGGTTTATGCCCATGGTGGCCACGGTGTCCTCCACGTGCGGGGCGGCCATCTCGATCAGCTTGCTCACAGACGTGTCGTACATGGTCGCCAGCGACGCGGCGCCCATCTGAATCTTGAACAGCGCCATCGGCTCCTTAAGGAAGTCGTGCGCCATCCGGATGTACGGCAGCGCCTGCTCGATGGCCGAACGGCGGATGTCCTCGCTCTTCAGCAGGCCAAAGGCATCTGCCACCGAGTCCATGACAGCATGGAAATGACCCGCGATCTCGCGCTCGTTTTTGCTGTTCTGGATCTGGCTTAGGTAGGCGGTGATCTCCTCCAGGCCCTCCACCTCGGGGATCATGCTCGCGATGCTCTTGAAGTCGCCGCCACTGGCCGCCAGCTTCATCGCGATGTTCTGCATCGCCATCGGGTCGCTTCCGATGGACTCTAATGAGCCCATCAGTTTGGTCAGGTCAGGCACGTTCTCCATGACGCCCTCCGCCTTCTTAATGGCTTCCTCCACGGTGATCGTCGACTTGGTACCCTTGTTCTCTTTTTTAGACTCAGGCTCTGACTCCTTGTCTTCTTTCTGTTCGGATTCCGGCGCAGTCTTGGGCTCCTTCGTCTTCTCCGCGTCTCGAACCGCTTCATCCTCCTCATCGGTCTCATCCTGCTTTTTACTATCGTCCTTTGAGTCTCCACCGACCGGCTTCTTCAGTGGTGTCTTAAGCTTGTCGAGGAGGAGCTTGACAAACTCGGGCTCAGCGTTGTCCTTCTTCACCACGTTTCCGAGGATACCACCGAAGTTGGTGACAATCTCGCCGAGCTCCTTTGCGGAGGGTTTCTCGTCGGCGATGGCCTCCATCAGCGAGGGCAGCAGGCGACCGATCTGGTCCTCGGAGCCGGTAAACATGCGCATCACTTTCTTGATCTCTTTCATGAAGGTGGCGCCGTTCCGCGACCAGTCCCACTCCTGCTCGTCGACGAAGTCCTGCAGGAACGACTCGAATGTCTCCAGGGCGCTCTGGTCGTACACGAAGTCGGAGTCATCGACGGTGCTGGCGGCACGGATGCTGCCCAGCACGCCGGACGCAGTCTTCTCGAACTTCTTCAGTTGCTCCTCGCTCATTGTTTCCTTGAACGCCTCGTTCAGCCTGTCGAGAAGGAATGGGCTCGCCTGCTCGTCCTTGATCACCTGCATGAAATTCTGCAGGATGGGCACCAGATCCTCGGTCTTCATGCCGTTGCCGGCGCCGCCCTTGCCAAGCAGACCGCTGGCCAGGCTAGCGAGGGAGCCGGCGCTGATGCCCTGGCTCATCAGCTGACTGAGGTCCACGCGGCCCGATAGCACGGATGTGAACAGCTGTCGCACCAGCGCGCCGGTAGCGCCACCTCCCTCGCCGCTCATCACCTCGCCGAAGTTGTCGAGGAACTTCTTGCCGTCGGGCGTCTCGGCGAAGATGGCCAGCTCGGCCAGCGAGGAGCGCAGCACGTCCGGATTGTAGGGATCCTTCATGAGGTCGAGCAGCGCCTTCTGCAGCACGGCCATCTGCCCGCGCAGGTCAGGCTTGTTCCGCTCGCGCGAGTACTTGTCGGCGCCCTCGTCGTCGGCGTCGTCGCAGTGACCATCGCGGCAGCTTTCCTCGGCCGACGCTGCCGCCGCCAGCACGAGCAGCAGCAGCAGGGACGCGTTCTTCATCGTGGCTGATCTGCGGCACGAGGGCGGGCATGGTCAACACGGAAGGAGGTGGAGGGAGCTGAGTCGTGGAGTTAACGCTAGAACAGGTGCAGGGTTCTGCGTCAAATCGGACGAATAATGCAATATTTTGGTAGGAAAAACATTTATTTCGTGACGTTTGCCTCAGATGATCTGCGGCTTCTAGTTCTGTCTTCTGCCTTTTACTGCTACACCTATTTTTGGGCATTCACGGCCCACCTTTGGGGTGTTCACACGCCTATGATCTGGGTTTATGGCGTTCGCGATCCCCCTTTCCATGGATCGACAAATTTGTTAACGTGGGCTGTAAGTGTGCATATCACCCGCTGCAACGCCATAACAAGCTTTGCAACTTGTTTACAGGATGCGGCTTTCCAACCCACGTCACCGAGAGCTTAACACAAAGCTAAAACCACAAAGTTTCGGCCATGCAATGCCACTTTGCACAATTAATGACATTTGATAGAATGCAGAACCTGCGCGCCAAACAGGCTCTGCAGTCATCTTTTTCTTCAACAGGAAAAGATGAAGTGTTTTAGCGGCGTCCCATCAGCGAGACCTGACAACCCGCGGGGTCAAAGCCCTTTACCGGATGGCACACATCTGCGCGATATGTATTCACCGTCCCCTATTTCGTATTCCAAAAAAGTCATGCAGGAATCCACGATTGCTCAGATAGCGCGGACACCGGCCGATACTTCGGACGCCGCGGCCCAGCTCGCTCTGCTCGCCTGCCGTGACCAGCACCCTCTGTGGGCTGACGCTCCCGCACAGCTTCACGCTACGGTGACACGTCACGCGCGTCGCACACGTCGTCGACGCACGCCCTTTTATGGAGCGTCGGCGGCTGCAGAGGCCATGCTAGCGCTCAGGGGCCATGCCGCAGCCGGGTTCGCAGCCGAGCCCACACGTGAGTGCTGAAGGCCACTCGATCATTACGCCCGTTTCCCGACGAACTCAGCAGGCGCCGGGTGAGCTCGGTCTCGGCCACCAGACCTCACGGAGTCAGACGTCACGGAGTCTGATCTCACAGAGTCTGATCTCACAGAGTCTGACCTCAGTGAGTCTAACGTGATCGCTCACGGTGGGGCCCCGAGACGACGGAGCCGGTCATTTCCATATGGCGTCCGTCTAGCGTGCACGGCGGCCAGTGACTGGCAGCGGACCCTGACCGCCTGCCGGCTGCTGGCCGCATGCCACATGCCGCGACAGTGCACTCGTGGGAGCATGCGGAACATGTGGCGATGTCTGACGTGATTTTATCACCAATCCTTCGGCAATGAACTCGATGCTCTGTCAGTGCAGTTGTTGCCAACATCATGACAGGGCGACGATGGTTCAGGAATAGATCTAACGTTAGCAATTTGTCCATTATGCATTTGTGTCCATGCGCCGACGACGCGTCGGGCTTAACCTGCTACAATTTGTCGACGTTGTTAGCCCTGCAATGAATCACGAGATACTGCATCGGTGCCAATACTCCAGCAGTACATCACTAGGAAACTTAATGTCAATATTTCAGCGAGGTATCAGCGTCGGTAACAACCCGGCAATGCATTATCCGACGGTGAATCAGCCTGTGAAACCCATTAATGCATTACCCTACCATGCATCGATGTCAAAGCCCTAACGAGGCATCAGTCGACAACGGCATTGTCAGTAGCGTAACAATGTGAGGGCGCGCCTGACAGCCAATTCTGGCGGAAAGACAGAGTTTCAGCATCTCAGGATTTCCGCCAGTTTTGGCAGAAATCCCGGCGTTAGGCGCGACTCAGCCCTCCTGGGCTTTGACCTGGCCACGCAAGATGACGATACCGGCGCGGAGTCTGGCGGATGCCGTTCGGGTTTAGGTCACGAATAAATCATGCATGCAGCGGGATGCTCGCTGACGGGCGCAGGGCTGCGGCAGACTGCAGGATGGGGGCGGCCAGCGGTGGATCCGGGGGAGGGGGGAGGACGCCCGGTGCTGAGGCGCGCATGGGACGCGTTTGAAACCGCCGATGCTCGTCGCGTTTCCGTTTGGACACGTATTGTTATTTACTGTGTCAGTTGACGCCTCCCAGTTGTACCAGCTATGACAAGTCAGGTCCAGAACGGAAGGCTGCTCACCGATCTCAAGGTACACCGTCATATGTGCCCGCCCTGTGAGATACAGGAGGCTGACGTCATCAATATGGCAGAGCACCCGTTCTGCCATATCTGTTGGCAGTTATAAAGTCGCCGAGTCCGACACGACACCAGACGGGATGCAGCATCGTGATCTGCCCCGGAAGTCCAAGCTGCGACATTGGGCTACAAAATCTAAGCCAGTCACCTTCCTTGCTTGTTTTTGGCCTGTTAATGATTCACAATACAATATGTATAGCCGAGGAAGCCTTTCATGTTGAAAGTGTTATGAAGGTCACTGCGTTTTTCCCTCTCAAATTTCCAGAATGCGGGAATCGGAAGGGCTATGGCATGGAAAACAAATTTACAAGTTCAAAAAGGAGCCTTCTTATGTATGCGCTTGATGTTTAACGGTTGATGGTGCATGGTTTGGAAGTAATTCCTGTAGCACATTTCACTGAGTCGGAATTAATTCACTATTCAGCTGTGTCGGTAGCAATCGCCGATTAATCAATGAAGATACAGAGACGGGAAACTACAGCTGCTATTCTTATTCTGCCACTTTGCGTTGCAGTAGGTAGCACGCTGCTGCTCTGCACCGCTTCTTTGTGACCAAAACAGACGTGACACGCCGGCTTTGGCTTTCGGCTTTCCGTGACACGCCGGCTTTCCGTTTGTCCGGCTTACGGCCGGACAAAACGCGGGAAAACACTCGACCGCTCTGCACAGCGTCCGCCATTTCGATCACCGTCCCCCTGCGCGCGTCCTCCCAGCGCCGGTGGAGATTCTCGGCCATCTTTGACGCCGCCTCACCGGCCGCGGACGGACACCGGAGGACCTGGCGGGAATGTCCGGCGCGTTCCCCCCTTCCCGCGAGCGCGACTGCCAAAACACCCGGCCGGCAGCCGCCGGGCAGGGGCGGTGCGCTAGGTATGAGACCCGCCGGTCCGGCTCTTACCGCTGCGTTTGTGCTTCGTGAAGACGCTGTGCGGAGGTGAAATGCGAGTTGCCAGTCAAACATCACTCTGGCCACAGCATGCGTGCTTCGCGCTCGGAAAGAATGAGGCTGGTGTCATAGGCCGTCCAGGGATGCGTGCTGCCGTGCTGGCGCTGAAGCGAATTATTTGCAGACAGGCAATATGTTGCAACCAAACTGTACAGGTTTCAGAACTGTCGTCACCAGCATCCAAGCAGATTACCTGGGATTGTGTTAAGTGCCTGTGCCTGATGCGAGTGCAAGTTCTAACATCAAGAGGATACCTGTATAAATGACATTGCACATCCACGGACCTACATCACGCTGCATCGATGGTGAGCGGCTAATATTTAGTTTGTAGCCGAACTCACCTCGGGACGTTTAAAAAAAAAATGAACGGAGCTAAGCAACGCAGGACGGCAGGGCGATATACTGTGCCGGTCAGTACGTGACGAGACCATAGTTCCCGGCAGTTCCATACAGAGAGAGCGGAAGAGAGGGTCAGAAGAGACAACCACCCGCCTCTGTAAGGTTGACGTTTGGTATCCACCTAGACTTGCATAGAAGGAAGTGAGGTAAAAATTGTGTTTACGTTATCGACCTTATCAGCTCGTAGGATGCGCGGCTGCCGGTTCCATGCCTTGTCGCCACCCGCAAGCAACGCGCAAACCAGCTCAACGCGCAAGTAACGCACAGCCCCCGTTAATGGCACCGGCAGTCAGGCTCTCCCGTTAATGACACCTGCAGTCGGACTCTCACCAGTGGTTCGGAGGCTCCGCCTGAGTCCTCGGCCGGTCACTGCCCGTCTCCGCGATGTGGCTGGCTCACGCGGACGAACGGACGGCCGGCGCGGGGACTGCGACGCGGCGTGACTGGCTAGCACCACGTCAGCGGCGGCGGCGGCGCCGGGCGATGACCCGCCGGGCTAGCGGCCCGGCCGCCCGCCGGCGCCGCGCCGGGTAACGGTGTGACGTCACGACCGACCGACCAGCCGCGGAAGTGCCGCCGCGGGGAGAGGAGGCTCCGAGGCGGCACGGTAGAACATCCGGTCGCTGAGGAGGGAGGGGGGGGGGAAGCAGAACCGGTTCTCGGGAGAGGGGACGGGGTGGGGTTTGAATGATTTAAGTCAGCTTTGGACCAAATAAACTGCCCCTTAGATGCGCGTCGTCGAGGTGTGATAGCAGTGCTGGACCATTTGGTTTATAGATGCTTTTCATAGTTTGGCCTTGTCAGTTAGGAAGAAACAGCGCTCCGTTCTGTTACACTTGCGACGTTAATGCTACCTAAGCGTCCTTTTCGGCTCCTTAAGAATAATTTTATCCGGTCTGGTAATGTTCCTAGAGGCCATTTATGCGCATACGGAGAACAGCCCCAGCTTTTTTTACAATTCATGTAACTTAGGAAGCTTTCATACTGGACAGCCTATCTTATTCACACTTTTTTGAAATGACTGCAGCTGCATTATTTGTATGCTTCAATTCGCTTCGGTAGCTAAAGAACTATTGCAAACATAAACACTCTGCGTAATGATTGCAAATAAAGCTTTGCTTCCAAATTTTGATTTGTATTTACTGGCCATGTTCTAATACTGTTTTAGGGCATATATGACGCAAAGGTTACAGTTCGTACCGTATATCGGACAGCGGCGCGAAGAAACATAATCATGGCATATAACTTTGATGTCAGAAAGCGACGGGATATTTGGGTGGACCTGAGCTCCGGAGAAGTGGACTCAGTTCTGGGGCCGCGATTATTCTTACCAAAACCTCCTTCGCCAAACTGAGGATGGACTTCGACGAAGATGATTTCATCTTTATTGAATCTGGTATGTTGGGTCTGTCAACATCCTTTCCGAATGGTTCGGTGGACTCATTAAGGATTGCACAGCTTATCACCATTCTTGCCACAATTAAGTTGATATTGTTTTTTAGGGAAGACCCTTGGATCACAATAATTTTTGCTAGGCATAGCTTGCGAACATGCATATGGCCCCAGTCTGCAACCCATGGCAAACATGTCAAAGAATAGAGGAAGACAGCATCTTTCCTCAAATAGGATAGTTAATTGCTCATTTGTGGCATTTTTTAGACCTTAATTTCCCCCTATAACATTACCTGCTCACTTGGGACATATTTTCACCAGTCTTACACCCTAAAACAATTTGCCATCATATTCAATCATTTTCTGTGATTTTATCGATTTTGTGTATTAAAGAAGACATTATGATGCCCCAACATTAAAATTTAGTATTTTCTGCATCCATATATTGATAACATGCCCCAAATTAAAAGCCATGTTGCACCTTTCCTCCATTGAGGTCGGGCCAAAATCTGCCGTGGTTGGCAGACTCTGTGCAACAAGAATCTTTCTGAAGGGAGGGGAAGAGTGTGAAAGGTTAGGTTTCCCCACTCCTGCAATTTAAGACTGAGGTCATAAAAGCTTGTCCAGCAATAAGTGTAAATCTCTTTGCTGACACATAATCTCTTGACCACAGCCTCTGTGACCCCCATAGCTTTGCTCATATAGACCTATGTCCTATTACTGTGTTCGAGCAATTCCAGCACCATTTATTGCTTTGTCAGTGGGTTTAGATTGACACATTGTCACGACCCAGTTACTCCTGTTTCAGAATGATGTTTTTGATCATTTACTAACTGACAATAAATTAAAAGTGATTCATGCACAGCTTAGGACATCATCCCGCTTGTTGAAACACATGTCCAGAGTTTTTAATGCTGTAGATGAGCCACAGAATGTGCAGCATATTGTTCCCCTACTTTCTTAGATATATTGTATGGGTGTCAACAGGCCTCAATGTTTTTCTAGGTCTCTGCTTCTCAAAGCCAGAAAGATTTGGATGTGCCTTTGGTAGCTTCCAGTTCTTACGTATCTTGCCATTGTGTCCTCAGTATTATAATATGCTCTTCACTCTATGGATTAGGAGTCCAGCATTTGAGAAAACTCATTTTCTTGCTAATTAACTACTTGTATTTGGAAATTGTAAAGGTAATTGTTCACATTCCTTGTGCAGTTTGCCATTGGGATATCATCAAACCAATAGCATTAAGCTGAGCCATTCTGTCATGAGCATACATTGTGGTGCATATATGAAAGGCATGTCCTGATGCTGCTTCAGCTTCAGTTTTCCATGTATTTCCAGCTGATGCTCCTGTGGAAAGTCTCAAACCACTGACACCATCAAAGGCGGGACGGTACAGACCTCAACCAGCATATGCGAAGCGTACAGGAGCGGCGGATGATGCAGAACCATCTAGCTCAAAACCAAAGCTCAAGAGGAGCTTCAGAACCAGTCCTGAAGTTCCTGGGTGAGAAAATCCTTAATCAACTGCTGTATCTTGTCAGAGTCGTGCTGTTCCTTGATCATGTTGGTCTTAGTTGCCCGATATCGCGAGCCAGTCATAAGATGCTGAACAGGCTGGACTTCGAGGCTCACACAATCACTATCAGTCAAACTAAATATGCTTCGCTGTGGGTATGGACACTGTGACCAGGCAGTCACGGTGCCTGTGAGCCCAGGCCATCATCACATATTGCAGGCCCTGATTGCTGGACTAGGCGTGGTGGCGGCATGGGATCCGCTGTCACCGCCAACATTCCCGCGCCGGCTCGCCCTGCCGTGCGCATTTAGCGGTCTGGCGTCAAACGTCATGTTACACTTGTTATTTATCAACAATCTATTTCCATCATCATTATCTAAATGATGATATCTAATGATTATTATGATATATATATATGATGATACTTATGATACGGTGCCATCAGGAAGTCCATGTGTGCATATTGTTGGGCGGACACGATGCTTTGGCTCGGTCCCGGTGCGTCTGACGCAGTTCGGCTGACTTCTTCGTGCGTGTTTTGCCGTGAACAGACCGGACGTGGCGGGCCAGTCGCGACCGGGGAAGCGCAGGAAGAAGGGCGCCGACCCGGACAGCGAGGAGGAGCGGTGGTTGGACGCCCTGGAAGAGGGCAAGCTGGAGCAGGTGAGACAGTGGTTGAGCGCTGTGCAGTTGATGGCGGCTTGCCTTCGCACACGTATGGCCACTTACCTGCGAGGTGGACGGTCGGACAGGCATAGGCCCAGTGCTGTCGGGCTTGTTCGCTTTCCAGCAGCGCTGTTGTGCAGTCGCGCGTATAGCGTGCGCCTGGATTACCTGACGACGCATGCAAGACGCGCTGTTATTTTCTAAATAAAACGTTTGCGGATTCATCAGACAGGCGTTTGTAAGGAGGTGGTTTTCGAAACGTTCTCCATCCAGCGCCGCGTCTGTGCCGTCCCGCCCGTCCTCCAAAGCGCAGAGTCTGTCCGCTGCTGTCGGCCCGCGCGGCACCATAATGTGACGTCATCAAATGGCCCGTGCGGCGCCGTAGGGTGACGTCATCCATCGCCGCTGCAGGTGGACGATGAGCTGCGCAAGATGCGGAACCCGCTGCTGATGACGGCCCGGCAGCGGGCGCTGCTTGAGAAACGCTCGGGCGACGACAGTCTGGAGAGCTTCCCGGCCGAGCCACTGGTGGCGCTGCCGTCGGGTGAGTCAGACGCGGCCCCTTCGGGCTACAGTCGCAAAGGGGGGGGGGGGATGTTTCAAGGGACGGTGTGGCGGAGCTGGAAGAGGGGTAGGGGTGTTTCAAGGGACGGTGTGGCGCAGCTGGAGGAGCTTCCGCCCAGCGACCGCGGGCGGGGGCGCGGATCGCTCTCCAGTCTGGGTCTGGCCGAGGACACCACCGTCTCATCCCTCGCGGCGATTGGCGCGATTAGTCGGATTTGCTCAGTGATGTGAGATGTTCTGTGCGTCATCGGACATTCACATTGATTGAAGCGTGCGCCTGCGTTCGTCGCAATCGTAGCCGCTCAATTCTCGAGTCATCTGCGTGTGTGGAGCACGGCACCCGCTCAGTTTCGTCGCGGCTATTAACACTCGTCAGGACTGCGGGCAGTGTGGTGGCATGGAACTGGGTGTGAAAGAAGTATGTTTGGAAGGTTCCATTTTATTATTCGGCAAGGTGCTCAAACTTCACAACACGGTAGCTTTTGACAAATCACTCCGTCATTGTGTGGGAGGCTGCGGCTTTGCATTAAACAGTTGCAATGTTAACAGCACAGATAACTTGAAAATCGGGCTTAAAAATATAAATCCTGTGTGCTACAAATTTTCATGCACTCGTTGCTCACACTTTTCAAATTTGTATCCATTGTGTCAAAAATTCACGAGCATAGAGAACACCTCAAAATACCTTGCCGTTGAACTAACTGCTCTGGTTCGATATGCTTCAGGCTACCGCGCCAAGTCTGAAATGACGGCAGAGATGGCTGAGCGGCACAAGAAGAAGACGGAGCGACGCCGAGAGCAGGCCAAGAAACACCGAGAAGAGGAGAAGGTAGCCATAACGCCGGAATCCAGCGTTTGCGCGTGTGTAACGGTCACAGGCATCGTGCGCGTGGCTTTCCACGGCACCAATGATTCTGTTCTTGGTGTACTTCGACGGGCTCGGGACCGCGCGATACCCCCTATTTTGGGCCGCCCGTCCAGCCCTCCGGTGTCTGACCCGGCCCCCTTGTCTGGTCTGGCTCCTGTGTCCGACCCGGCCCCTATGTCTGACCCTCAATGTCTGACCTAGCCCACGTGTCTGACCCAGCCCTCCGTGTCTGATTACCCGACCCCTGTGTCTGACCCGGCCCCCTTGTCTGACCCAACCCCGTGTCTGATCCGGCCCCTGTGCCTGATCCGGCCCCTGTGTCTGACCCGGCCCCTGTGTGTGATCCGGCCCCTATGTCTGACCCTCAGTGTCTGACCTAGCCCGCGTGTCTGACCCAGCCCTCCGTGTCTGATTACCCGACCCCTGTGTCTGATTCGGCTGTTGTGTCTGATCCGGCCCCTATGTCTGACCCGGCCCCTGTGTCTGACCGGGCCCCCTTGTCTGACCTGGCTCCCGTGTCTGACTCGGCCCCTATGTCCAACCCTCCGTGTCTGATCCAGCCCCCGTGTCTGACCCGGCTCCCTTATCTGAGCCGACTCCCTTGTCTGACCCCACTCCCTTGTCTGACCCGGTCCCTGTGTCTAACCTATCTCCCCGTGTCTGACCCGGCTCCCTTATCTGAGCCGACTCCCTTGTCTGACCCCACTCCCTTGTCTGACCCGGTCCCTGTGTCTAACCTATCTCCCCGTGTCTGACCGAGCCCCCATGTCTGACTCGGCCCTCCGTGTCTGATTCGACCCCCATGTCTGACCCGACACCCGCGTCTGATCCGGCCCCTGTGTATGACCAGGCCCCCCTTTCTTACCCGGCCCCCATGTCTAACCCTCTGTTTCTGACCCGGCCCGCCGCCTGTCTGCTCGCAGAAGAAGACGGTGAGCCGGCTGTTGAACAAGGCCGACTCGCGGCCGGGCCGGGGCGGCGGCCGGTCCCGCTCGCGGGCCGCGCCGCCGGCCGTCACCTACCGGCAGACGACAGAGGGCGCCGAGCTGAGCCTACCGCCCGGTCTGCCGCCGCCGCTGGCCGCCCAGCCGCCCAGGTCAGCCGCCGGCGCGGCCGGTCCCAGCTGCCCGGTCCCGGCAGCCTCCTCCGGTCGTCCGGCTGGGCGGTGTACGGTCCCTCCAACGGCGGGAGCGTGTGGACCGGACGTTAGATATACTGGACAGTCTAGTTAAGCGTTCTGCGACCGTAGCCTTACTCTCACTACTCATAGCCCAGCGTTTGTGATTTGTTTTGGCGGCGCCAGGTGCGCCCATAACTGCAACAGCAACTGTTAATTGCTTCGAAACCGCTTCGCGGCGGCGCCCCCGGCAAGTTACCATCGCTCCGCTGACGCCCGTCCCGCCGCCAGGGAGCCGCCGAAGCCGCGCCTGTGCGGCGTGGCCGGCTGCCGGAACCTGCGCCGCTACAGCTGCGCGCGCACGGGCGTGTCGCTCTGCAGTCTGCGCTGCTTCAACGCCAACGCGGCACTCCGAAGACCGCCAGCCAGCCGGTCCTAGTGTATTGACGCTTGGGCGGGCTCCCCGCCCGGGCCGAGCGCAGGTGCGCCACGCTACGGCGCGCGCGGTCGGCTCCGGCGGCGCGCGACGGCCGCGCAGAAGCAGGCGGGGCGCGAAAGACTCCGGCGCGCTGACGGCCCGCGGCAGACGGCCGGACACGTACAAATCGGCAGTGGGCGGGGTCGCGTAACGGCGGCGCGGCGGCGCGGCGGCGGCTACAGCTGCTGCTGTCGTAGTCGGCCACTCTTGGCGGCAGCGAGCCGGGCCGCCCCGGCGCGCGTCCCGCTGGGGCCGGCGGCGGCGCGCCGCGAGCCGCGCCGCTCACGGGCGCCGTAGTCGGCGTAGTCGCCGTCGAAGTAGTCGTAGTCGTCGGGCACCAGGCCGCTGCCCTGGCCGCCGTCCTCGTCGTCGCCGGTTGAGAAGCCCGGGTCGAAGCCGTCCGACGACTCGGCCAGCGCCCGGACGCTCTCTGCACGGCGGAGAAGCCCATGAGGCCAGGGAGAGGGGGGGGGGGGGGGGGGAGGGGCGTCACGAGTCAAACAGAGCGCGCGGAGACGTTCGGTGGAACTCTGACCTCGGGACTCGGGACTCGGGACGCTGTCCAGCGGCGCCCGAGCGGGGTGGGAGATGCGAGGCTGAGGTTTTCGGCTGTGATCGCGTAGCGAGCATCAGGACCGCTGCACTCGATGTGTCTGGACGTAACATGTGTGTTTGTGCGGTGATGCTGCCCGCCAATCGAGCGCAGTAATGAGCGTGCGACAGATGTCCGCCAGTGGCAAACGCGCTGTAATTTATGGGCAAGGACGGCTGTTCGCCATTGCCAGTGACAAACGCCCTATAATTTATGGGCAAGGACGGATGTTCATCATGTGACTTTAGTTCACCGGGATGGTTTCACTCGATTTCATCGATGATAAAGCTATTCAAACAACGTTGCCTGCGTTAGGTTCGGTGACGAGGATGTCTCTCTTCTTTGCTAGTTCTGCTCTGACGACCGCTCTAGCCTCCCGCGGCGCGTGCACGTACCGCTGAGCTCCTGCAGCTGGCGCTCCAGCGTCTGCACCCGGCCGTTGAGGTCGGTGATCTGCGCCCTCATCTGCGCCGTCTCGGCGGCGGAGGCGCCGCCGGTCGGTTCGCCTGAGGGGCGACCGGACGGTCAGACATGGCGGAGGCGCCGGCGCGCGCGCTGCGGGTCGCTGGCACACTGCTGTCGGCCGAGCGGAGGCACAAGGGGATGCACTGTCACAGGGAGGCTGCGCACGGAACAGTGGGTAGAATCGACACAAATGTGTAGCTGCTCAGAACTAAATGCGGGGCCTTATTCGGACGGTCTACAGGATGTGGCACGCAGTGTTCAACTGCATTTTGCAAGACGTCTGCGGTTCCTTACCGAGCGGAACCAGCTACAAATTAATCACGTTTACCAGAGTCGAGACTTTTACGGCAGCATCTGCACCACATCCAGCACTGCTGCGAGATTCGGAGCGTCTTCACTAAAAGTGCTTTCTCCAGGCATGCCGTAACCGTAGTTCTTGCTCTCTTTTGACCTTACTGAACCGTCGTGAACGAGCTGCATCTCCCCGATGAGAACGTCGTGACCATTTATCACCCTTCCCTTGCTGACTCGCTTTTCCGACCTTGCTTTATTTTCATCTCTTAGCGCGTGTGCCTGCGGACCAACAAACCCGCGATCCTGCCCCGGCCCGGACCGGCCCGATCGCCGCTCTCCGCCTCACCGGCCGCGGTGCCGGGCAGTCCGGGCAGGCCGGGGGCTCCCACCGGTCCCACCGGTCCCGGCGGCCCGTCCAGACCGGTGGCGCCGCTGGCTCCCGGCAGCCCGGGCGGGCCGGGGAAGCCCTGCCCTCCGGGCGGGCCCGGCTCTCCAGGCGCGCCATCAGATCCAGTGGGGCCCGGCCGACCGACCACACCCGGCAGACCTGCGGATCACGAGCACCAGGATCAGAATTACGGGCAGCAGCCTGGGAGGGCTGCAGAGCGACCGAGAACGCCGTGGAAGGTCGTCACAGACGAGCTGGAGGCAATGAGCGTCAAAGCTTTAAAGAGGCTCGGGTCTGTATCATAGATTACGTCAAAGAGATGTCAAACACCCCACAGACCTCCTTTCCGGTCTTCCAACGTTATTCCCACCAACACCACGCGTTTTGCGCCCTTGACGGACGCGCTCCACGTCCGCACGTACCGGGGTCTCCCTGCAGTCCGGGCGGTCCTCGCGGTCCGGGCAGACCGGCTGGACCCGTCCGACCCGGCGGTCCCGGCTCGAACGAGGTGCCGGCGCCGGGCGCGGCCCTGCCGCCACCCTCCGCCGCCTCACCGGGTACCCCTGTCGCAAGAGCGGACTGTAACGGCGGGCGCGATGGCGTGTGGTGTGGGCACGTGCCACGTGTCGACAACACTAAAATTTATTTGTCGGGGAGGGGTTGCGTTCCGTTTGAAAGGCCTTACCCCGTCACTGGTTCTGAGAAAATACCTTGGTCTGCATGCAGAACGATAGACATCAGGATGTTTGCAACCATTTTGTCGGAATTTTAGCTCGACAGTCGTTAATCGTGCACAGGCCCCGTCCAGCACCCAAATACACTGGCTGATTTTTTCAAAACCATCAAGGCTGCATGACAATCGCAGTGACAATAGCGGCAAAGCACGGCGCTCTAGTCATTGCACTTTAGCATCGTAAGCGGCGCTCTCCTGTGGAAGCTAGCGCCGAACCGTGCATGCCCAGCCCTCCAGAGCTGCCCACTCGCGTGTGACCTGGGATATGTGGCAGACGACGCACTACCAGACATTTACAAACCGTGGAAGAGACACGCTGTCCGTCACCCTTCGCAGGGGTTAAGGGGAACGTTTCACTCATATGCTTGGCTCTGAACGGAGATAGCCAGATTGTAGGGCGTTGAAGAACAGCGACAGCTTATTCTAAAACCAGGGCATGAGCTTTACGGCAATTGGTTTGGGATATGTTTCGTTTGGATGTATCTCCTTTATGACGTCATTAGCGATGAGATTATACAGCGGTGAGGGGTGCTACGTGCGATGGACACGAAGACCCAACGTAAACGTAACTGGTTGCAATGTTGCAGAGGTGAAGGACTGGGACCCATCTTTTACAATCCAAAACGCTATTGCCACCACTGTTAAATAAGCAGCATGCTTGGTTTGATTTAAAATTTAGGCCTTCTCTGGTCACCCTCAAAAGTGCGCATCTATTTTAGCACTCCCCCTGGTGATGCATGACAAGGATGTGTTTTGCATGGACACAAATTACTTTAAACGGGGGGTTTCATTTTGGGACGTCCATCCTTTCATAACGTAGATCTCACCTGACGGTCCGGCGGGTCCTGGCGGTCCAGCGGGCCCTGGCAGACCTGGCAAGCCCGGCGGACCCTCTGGGCCCGACCGACCTGGCTCTCCCGGGAGCCCGTCCCTCCCTGGCATGCCGGGCACACCGGGTAGACCCGGACCGTCGGACCGCGCCGAGGCCACCCGGCCGGGCGGTCCCGGCGGTCCCGGCGGCCCCTGCGGCCCTGGCGGGCAGTCGCAGGCCGGCGGCAGCCGGTTCGTTTGCCGGTCATCCTCCTCCGCCGGGATGTCTCCCCGCGCCGCTGCCGGCAGGGAGCGGGTCAGTGCTCGCGCCGCCGGCAGGTCAGCCCTCACTAGCACCGCTGCTGTCGATAGGTGTCAGGTCAGGTCTCACTAGCACCGCCGCTGTCGATAGGTGGCAGGTCAGGTCTCACTAGCGCCGCTGTTGTCAATAGGTGTCAGGTCAGGTCAGGTCTCCCTAGCACCGCTGCTGTAGATAAGTGTCAGGTCTCACTAGCACCGCTGCTGTCGACGGGTGGCAGGTTAGGTCTCACTAGCACCACTACTGTCGATAGGTGTCGGGTCAGGTCTCACTATCACCGCCGCTGTCGATAAGTGGCAGGTCAGGTCTCACCAGCACCGCTGCTGTCGACAGGTGGCAGGTTAGGTTTCACCAGCACCACTGCTGTCGATAGGTGGCAGGTCAAGCCTCACTAGCACTGCTACTGTCGACAGGCGGCAAGCCAGGCCCTCCTAGTGCCTCTGCTGTGGATAGGTGGCAGGTTAGGTCTCACTAGCACCACTGCTGTCGATAGGTGGCAGGTCAGGTCTCACCAGCACCGCTGCTGTCGATAGGTGGCAGGTCAGGTCTCACTGGCACCGCTGCTGTCGATAAGTGTCAGGTCTCACTGGCACCGTTGCTGCCGACAGGTGGCCACCCGAGCGAGCCAGAAGTACTCGGCACCATGGATCACAGCTGACACGTCAGTCAGACCATGGGCGGCGCAGGTACTCGCCGGCAAAGCGGTAGATCGTGGGATGTAAGTGAGTCACGATGCTGCAATGCCGTGAAAGGACAGCGCGGACGGCCGAAAGGACGGCCGAAATACTGCTGCACGCATTACCTCAGACAAACGCGGCCGTTTGGCTGGGCCCCGTTTGTCATGCGTCTGCGCGTGCGCAGCCGGAGTCCGTTTGGCTGTGCACAGCCTGCCCTGATACCTCGTGCAATATCATCATGCCCTTGCTGTGGCCATTACGTTACGACGTGCGCATGTGAAGCATGTGGTATGTAACAAAAGCTATACGCAAATACCACCGAAATTATGACGCAATTACGAAGTTGCGTGACGTTCATGTGAGATGCACGTCCTGTGTCCTACGCACATCATCGCCGTACGAACATGCTTATGTGTATACTCGGGTCTAGATACGTGCGTACATGTCACAAATATACTCGGCCACCTCTGTAGGCGAACATAATAGATGCCATATGACCATGAGGTCGGCGCTCCCTAAAATTCAAAGCAGGGCCTTCGTCACACGCGAACATATGTCTGCCATTTTGGGAACGGCTTTACGTGCGCTCATGAAAACTACGCCTGCAGACAGATGTATGACCTAATCGAGCTCACATATTTGTGCGTACACAGGACGTATCCTGGTTCAGATATGCGTACATACGTGGGGCATATCTCGGCTCAGATATGCGTACGTACGTGAGGTGTATCCAGGTTCGGGAATACCGGACGGCGTCCTCATGCCGACGAACGTCTCCAGCGTGGTCACGCGACTGAGGACGTGGGTGAAGTCGTTGCAGGTGAAGCAGGCTGTGGACCTCGAAAGAGTCAGGATCCCTCACTAGTACATCCCTGATGGTTATGACCTTGGTTTCACATGTTTACGGTGGGCTTCATGCGTCAGCCACATTCAGCGAGCTGGATTAAAGAGAGCGCTCATCGTGCTCACGTTCTATTCGAACGTTGGCCAATGCCAACCCTTTGTGATACCGATGAATCAGAATTATGACTGCGCCGCGATTAGAGGTTGGGAGAGAAAGGGTCTTCATGAGTTCCTCTACTAGCATGCGCTACTGACAGCGGCTGTACTTCGACTTCCAGAGGGTGATTTTTGGACAAGTGCGCTCGATAGGCCCATTATTTACGTGATAACCGTGCTCATTACGCACTCATTACAATTTGACAAGTTTAGTTTCATTCCCGTTCTTTTCGATCCGAGGGAGATTTAAGGTACTGATCAGCACAAGCGCGCAGTTAAAACACTTGTGTGAATGAGTAGAGTGTAGTGAGATCGACAGTGGACAGTGTACTTCTCAGCGCTGCAAATCACATTTTGTGAACGATCATTGGTGCATAGCCCGCAAAGAAGGGCCAAGCCACCCTTATATCACCACCAGTGAACCAACCGAACGGGGCATGTATGTACTGACAGCCGCACCAGCGCATTGCACCATCTCACCTTCCGTGCAGTGCTCCCCTTCAAAGCCCGGACAGCAGCGGTACTGGACCCGATTCACCATCTTGAATGAGGTGACGTACTTCGGCCGGCGCCGCCTCCTGCAACAGCCACCTCAGGCGTCAGGGGTGGCCGCCACCTCGTGCGGCACGCGCTCGCACTCGCAATGCAAACATGCACTGTTCCAATTGTTGCAAACAATTAACGTGCCATAACAGTTTTTGAGTAAGGATTTTTTAGCTTCGGTGATGGAATGAGGCTGTCTTTGTCAACGCAGCTAGACGGCTCGTGTGCAAGCTGGTCACTGTAACGGCAATGTGGTGGAGCAGAGATTCGAAGTGACTACCGCATGGATTTTTCGGATAAATCCTAATTTGTTCAGGACATAAAATAGCCATTTTTCATTTGACGGTGTCAGCTTCATATTCGCCAGTCCAGCATGATCGGCAGTTAAAAAACCGGTTTCCTTAACGGAAATAATTCAAACGGGCATGTGATGTGCACCGAAGCTACATGCCATCGCAAACGAGATTAACGTTTTCTATAAGCCAGCTTTCAACAGTAAAATACTTCTTAAATCAAAACATCTTCATCGAAATCAACTAAATTGTGCATTCCCACTTGAAAATGCTGCATTGCGCCACCAAGAAAATGTGGAACAACAAAACAGATGTTTACTGACACAAAAGGGGCAAGGAAGGAGTCAGGCGGGTGTAAAGTACTAACACAGTGTGCCGACAGTCATTCCAGTTGCCAGTACGATAGCATTTCGAGTAGTCCGTGCCGTCGTACTCCTCGGTGCCGTTCTTCACGCGACACGTGACCTGACGCTGCACGGTGACCGGACAGAAGTTCCTGCCGACAGGGGTCAGGGGTCAGGGCGCCGTCAGTCGGGTCAGACCAGTCAGCCAGGGCCGACCGCCTGGTTTAGATCCTGTGAGGGCTACACCTCCACGAGCACAAGTGCCGCCGCCAGTCGAGGTCAGGGCTCAGTGCAGGGCCGAGGGAGGGAAAGGGGGAGGGGCGGACAGAGCAAGGATATACTGCTATCATCTATGAAAGACTGCATCTACCCTACGACGGTACACGTAAAAAAGCAGTGCAAAATCCAGTCTGACCCCCATCAACCCGCCAGAGAACTCGCTACCCCGGGGTCAGTGACTACTGGGGCGATATCGCTTGTTACAGACGGACTTGACGTCGCAGGGTCTCCACTCCGGGGTCGGACCGCTGGGTATTAGCCCAGATTGGTGTCCCGCCAATCCAGGCTGACGATCCGTCAGTGGACCACAAGGCGCCGGTCTGAGCAACGCAATGGCATGATTACGACTGAAAGGATAATGCTCGCCGTCGGCCACGGCGTTTGTTGGTAACGGCCGTTACTTCAGACGGCTGCAACCAGTGCAACCCAAAGTTAGCGGTACAAATTTTGATGTCCCCACGTGCGTTGGCACTATGCCAACCTCGTCGGCGCGATGGTCCAGTACAAAACCAGACTCCCCATTCGGCTGTCAGCACGAATAAAGGCATCCGATGCATTGTTACTGGGCTGCACCATCATGGGCTCCGATTTTCATGTGGGTTTTGCACAGCTTATGTGACTGGTAGTCACCAACGTGACAGTTATCATGAGGATATCAATGGTCATAAAATTGTACAACCAGCTTCCATACTGCATTCTCCTCCCCATAACCGACGTTGGTACTTATTGCACGGGCGACTTAACTGGCGATGGAAGGCATCAGGTGGACCAAGCTGTTCAAAACACGCGCCAGCCCTTAGGGACAAGTCATTGCGATCAGCGACCATTTTTGTTCGCTAAACATATCAGACTGGAAGTGAAGCCACGATGTAAAACCACTGCCAGACTGGTTACTCTTACGTCACCGAACCATGCCGCAAGACACTATGGCTGCATTTATGCACGCACGCAAATCAGAGAGGCCATCGCCAGTATGGCACCAGTCCTTTGTGGGCTCTTGCGGCCTGACATAAACTATATATTTGCCGATGCATACCTTCTTGACATGCATTAAACCGTGCAAAACGTATCGAACAGGACCGTGGCAATCAGAAGGCAGCGACCTTCGCTGGGCCAACACCCCTGCATACTGATGACCCCCTGCGTCCGACATGAGCGGCACAGATTCTTCAAGCACCTCGAACAAGTTACCACACCGCCGTGAGTGTCGGCGGGCGCTACAAAGCGCTCCCGACGGCACGCTCTCGATCAGCGGCGTCCACGCCTCACTTCTAAGGGGCGTCGTGCGCCTTTGGCGGGGTATGCCCAGACGGGGGACGCCGGCGGCGCTGCCTGCACGTGCCGGCGACCGGCCGACCCGGCGGCAACATCACACGACGACGATGGCGCCCCACGGCACGTTAGCGCGCGCGGACACAGCCGCTTTGATGCGCCGCCGCCGCCATGTTTGGCGCTGCCGTTACGGCCTGGGCGCGTGCGTGGTCGCGCTGCTTGCCGAGCCTGCGCCGCCGTCGCCGCTCGCGCTGCCAACGAGACGCCCTTGTGGGGCGCAAGAGTCGACGCGGTTGTCCGCAGCATCGACGTCGTCAGTGCTCGCCGAAGGTTTCGAGCCTCGTCACAAAACGCTTGCCATCACGTTTGTCGCCACCCGCAAACATGCATATATATATAACATCTGCAGCCCCGCGCCGCGGTCCTCTGAAGCCACGATGAGGTCCGCCCGCCCTAAGGACAGCCCACTAGCACTGCCTGCTTGCTATCGGGGCATCAGACAGACCTCAGCAGCACTTCAGGATAATTGGCTGGACGTCCGATGCGGGCTCCCGTTTAGCACACGCCACTTGCAACACCGATAATGTCTGCCGGTAATTCGGAATGAGCGGGAGAGTGAGTGACGTAGCTGGCGTCAGTTTCTGAACGTCACGACGTGCGCGCCTGGGACTCAGGACAAACACATGCCATCCAAAGATATCTCAATCAAAGTCGTTCCTTGACAGCATAATAAAAGCGTCTCTACTTGCTCGACGTCAGCTCTATGCGATAACCTCCGTCGATGCACATATCAAATGCAGACCGCCAATATATTACAGGGCAGATTGTTCGTCTGACGTGAATGCGAATGAACACGCCGGAGGACTGCGTAGGCGGAGGGAGAGACAGCGGTGTGGGCTTTATCGCCGTAGATATCTTTTTGCGTCTCTCGGCTTTGTTGGGTTCCTCACTTCATTTTAGTCACGGCATTTTCTTGCCAGCGTACAAACTAATTACCAAATATGTGCCTTATTTGGATACAATTTTCCAGCGATGTTATGATGGTGACTGGTGACCGAGGCGTTTCGCTCAGAAGACAGAAACGCTAGCCTTATCAAGTGCAGCTTAGGACGCCAGCCAAACTTCCACTCACCAACAGCCGCGTCCCAGTGTCTACAGCTACAATCATGACGGCAATTACCATAGCAGCATTGCCTGTCATGAAATAAAATCTAATATAACACGATAGCAAATGCTCCACAGGCGAGGTCACGAGTGTGGCCCCAATTCTACAGACGAGGCCATCATCTCAGCCCTGTCACGATGACTTCCTCGCTTAGTGACAGGCACCTTGCATGCAAATAAGCCGCTCGACTTTGGAGCAGGAGCGATATCGGACGGGCCTTCCCGGGCCTTAGGTCCGTGCTGGTGAGCGTGCCGGGTCGGCTGTGGAGCGGGAGCGATCTCGGGCCCTCCCGAGCCTTCGGTCCGTGCTGGTGAGCGCGCCGGGTCGGCTGTGGAGCGGGAGCGATCTCGGGCCCTCCAGAGCCTTCGGTCCGTGCTGGTGAGCGTGCCGGGTCGGCTGTGGAGCGGGAGCGATCTCGGGCCCTCCCGAGCCTTCGGTCCGTGCTGGTGAACGTGCCGGGTCGGCTGTGGAGCGGGAGCGATCTAGGGCCCTCCCGAGCCTTCGGTCCGTGCTGGTGAGCGCGCCGGGCGACGGGCATCGCTCACTCAGCGCGTCTCCGGGCGTGGTATCGTGAGTCAGTCACCGCGCCACGGCTCGAATCTGGCCCTGCTTCCGGCACGCCGTGATTGGGGACAGCGCCTCAGCCTGAAGCCGGGACCGGACGTGAGGTGACACGACAGACTGGGCCTCCCCCCCCCCTCCCGCTCTCCACGCCTGCTCCCCATCCTGTGACACCGCCGTCTGCAACCTCGCAACGGGCCATTGTACCGTATACAGCGCCGCGATGACATCCACCCCTCCTAAGGACGGCCCAACCAAGGCTCGGCAGAGTTGAGAGATATTTTATGTTTGCATGTCCTCGGCCTGAATTTATGGTGGGAGGCTCGCAAAAGGGCCTGCCGTAAAGGGGCACTTTAACACGGTGCCGCCAAGTCACAATATATACGTCGGCCGGCTAATAACTATGCTGCGATGTCTTCACGACACCCTGCCGTCCGCCCACTAACCAAACATACCTTACACCGTGATGAAGTGAGCTTCTTTGGATGTTCACATATGTGTGAAGTATCCCGTCTTTGTTGCGATATGGTCACCAGGGACTGATCTCCATTAGGGGATAATTGGCGCCCGGTTGATGGCCGCGGTGGAGGCCATCCAAAATGACATGCAAGTCAATTGAGCTTGACCGTGGGGCGTTACAGCCTCGACCCGCAGTGATTTCCGTGTCCCGCACCCATGCGGACCGGCCCAGCCGCTCCCGGTCCAGAAACGGCTGGGCTTCAGCTGCGGCGCTGTCCGGCTGTCCGGTCCGGCTGTCCGGCTGTACGGTCCGCCCGTCCGGCTGTCGGTCTTCCTTCACCTGCGCCGCTGTCCGGCCCAGACGCCGCGGCTGAACCGGCCAGCATCGGCAGACCTGGTCGACCCGCCGCGCCAGCTGGTGATGGATGTCCCTCTCGGCCGCCCGGCCGCTTCCGGCCGCCGACAAAAGGCTAGCCGTGCCCCGTCACCGCTCCGGTGCTAGCTGTCCCGGTGGGGAGCGGCGTTGCAGTCTCCGGCTGGCAGCGGGCTGATAGAGCGCCCGCCGTGACCGAGCTTTGTCCGCCGGCCACCGCACGCACCCCGACCGTCCTTTGCCGCTGGGGTGTTTGCGAGTTGGAGCTCCAAGGTGCATCAGCCGGTGGCGGCTGGAATGTTTGTCCCTCGCCGCCAGCCGTGGGTGGATAGCCAGGAGCGCCTGCTCTCCATCACAGCCATGCTCGTTATCACACATTTATACGCACGCAGTGATCAAGGTGTGGCACGTCATGCTGAAGACGAAAAAATGGCGCAGTTTTGGTGCGTACTGACATTTTATGGGTTAAACGGCGTCTTTAATATGCAACAGTGCTACATAGATAAGACAAGAGTTATAGCCTCATTCTTCGGAGAAAAGCCAGGAGAACGGAGACATAGATGTGCTGATATTTCGGCAACACGCCTTTATCGAAAGGAATAGCAGAGGTGAATTAAAAATTGCCTGCCAAATGCACCTAATAGCTTATGAAAAGGCAATACCCTTAAGTAGCTTTTGTACCACGACCTCGCACCCTTGCAAGTGCTTACAAATTTTACAAACCGGTTCAAGTCCGCGAACTCTCTATCGGCCTTCCGTGGTGCGTGGTTTATTCGGAGCCTCATCGTCTTAGTCGACGCAGACGTGACCGGGCGGCCGTCGACGCGTACCCGCCACCGAGCAGGCCCATACGCCGGCCGTGCCCGCACCTCCCACCGCGTCCCCGCCCCCGCCCCCTGGCCTGCGCGTCTCGCACGACTGGCAACGGACAATGCGCCGGCGCCGACCGCGCCGGCCCCCGCCCGCCGGAGGCTCCTGTTGTTGATGGCGAGGTCGGTAGGACCATCTCCACTCCCCCCCCCCCCCCCTTCATCCCAAGCAGT